GGGATATTGGCAGTTTGGAGGGATATGTTGTGTATCTTTATATGTGTATGCTTCTAGACTGTTGTATTCTGAGCACCTCTGCAAAAACAGTGATAATGTGCGAGTGTGGTGAAAGTGTTGAATGATGATGAAAGTATTTTCTTTTTGGGGATTTTCTTTCTTTTTTTGGGTCACCCTGCCTCGGTGGGAGACGGCCGACTTGTTGAAAAAAAAAAAAAAAAAAAAAATATGCTTCTAAGCTGTTGCGTTCTGAGCACCTCTGCAAAAACAGTGATTATGTGTGAGCGAGGTGAAAGAGTTGAATGATGATGAAAGTATTTTCTTTTTGGGGATTTTCTTTCTTTTTGGGTCACCCTGCCTCGGTGGGAAATGGCCGACTTGTTGAAAAAAAAAAAAATTCTCCCACTACAACTGAAATTTCACACTGGAGGATAGGTAACGAAATGAGGGAGGGATTTTATGGGCTACAAGCTGCCAACCCCCACAGGCATAATGTGAGCACATTCCAAAGAATTCTAATCAGAACTCTTTGTAGTTTGAATTATTTTATCATCCTCATATTGCAGCATTCATGATGGTGAAATTTTAGTTGTTTTCTGAAGCAACAGTAGGGTTTATTACAAACCAGAACGTAATACTAATTATGAAGGAATTAATGTTCATGCCTCAGGCCTGTATGTTAGCATTTCGTCGCCTCTATAATTCCTTCCAGCTCACACTGTTACATTAGCAATACAGTTTTGTAATTTTTTTTAATAAGACTGTGAAGTTGTATAAAAAATGTTAGCCAAGAACTGAGTTAACATTTGAGTTATTCAAAATGTGATTAGGGAGTAGCTTAGAGGCTTATCAAAAGCCTAGGACACAGAATGAATGCCAATAGCACAAGTAATGTGCCCACTAGCAGTCTACAACCCATAGGTATAGTTTTAAATTTTTGTTTGTACTAACAAATCCTAAGTAGGTTGGTAGACATAAGCCGCCCAGGGAGGTACTACCGTCCTGCCAAGAGAGTGTAAAACAGAAGCCTGTAATTGTTTTGCATGATGGTAGGATTATTCTGTCTCATAAACATGCAAGATTTCAGATGCATTTTGCTGCTTCTACTTACACTTAGATCACACTTCACATGCATGTTTTTTTTTTTCAACAAACCGGCCGTATCCCACCAAGGCAGGGTGGCCCAAAAAGAAAAACAAACGTTTCTCTTTTTAAATTTAGTAATATATACAGGAGAAGGGGTTACTAGCCCCTTGCCCCCGGCATTTTAGTCGCCTCTTACAACACGCATGGCTTATGGAGGAAGAATTCTGTTCCACTTCCCCATGGAGATAAGAGGAAATAAACAAGAACTAGAAAGAAAGTAGCAGAAAACCCAGAGGAGTGTGTATATATATGCTTGTACATGTATGTGTAATGTAACCTAAGTGTAAGTAGAAGTAGCAAGACGTACCTGAAATCTTGCATGTTTATGAGACAGAAAAAAGACACCAGCAATCCTACCATCATGTAAAACAATTACAGGTTTCTGTTTTACACTCGCTTGGCAGGACGGTAGTACCTCCCAGGGCGGTTGCTGTCTTCCAACCTACTACCTAGGACACATGCATGTACAAGCACATATTATACACACCCCTCTGAGTTGTCTTCTATTTTCTTGCTAGTCTTGTTCTTATTTATTTCCTGTTATCTCCATGGGGAAGTGGAACAGAATTCTTCCTTTGTAAACCACATGTGTCATAAGAGGCGACTAAAATGCCAAGGGCAAAGGGCTAGTAACCACTTCTCCTGTATACTTTACTAAATTTAAAAAGAGAAATTTTTGTTTTTCTTTTTGGGCCACCTTGATTGGATACAGCCGGTTTGTTGAAAGAAGATCAACACAAATGTGAAAACATCTCAATATATGTTACCTGGCACCTAGGTTGACATTGGGAGTTGTGTAAAGTATTATTGGGGGCAATAGTTGGCCTATTGCAATCTTAGAATCTGTAAGAGTTGTTTTAATTCATTTATTGTCTGGAGCAGAGGTAATACACTCGTTGCATACCCTTGGGGTCAGTAGTCTGCTGAATATTAGGTACACAGTGTTCTTGAAATACTCCATGCTGAATACAGTCATGCATGTATGTGAAATTTTAGTTTCTTCATATCATTTTCCTATGAAAGTTTTGTGCATCAGTTTTTCTTTATATGAAGAGGAATAGAATTATGTTCAGTTGGGTAAAAATTAGTTTATTTCTGTATTAAAATGCATCTCTTTATTTAGTTTGTGGACTCAGAATAATTATTACTCTATTACACATAAGTATCTTTTCATATCATATTGGAATTTTGTTTTAATTTATCAAGGTTGATTCATAGTTTAGTTTTATGAAACAATAATTAACTGTTATATATAGAATAATACTTATGTCCCTAATAGATATAATTCTTTTGATTTATAGAATGTTTTACTGAGTGTTTTATCATTGGATGAAAACGTTCTCACAATTTCCAGGACCCGTTGTTTGATAGTGACTTTGAATTTTGGTTGGAGGAGGAATACAAATTCCTCAATGTTGCTGTTTGGAGTAGAAACATTTCCTCATCAAAGCAAGATAGTGACTCAGGGTCTTTTGATAAATGTAAAGAGAGTAAGGATAAAAGTAAATCCAAAGAAAATGAAAAAGAAAGAAAAAGGAGTAGAGAAAGTGATAAGTTAAAAACACGTGATGACAAAGCGACAGCAGGTCTGACTGATGACACACTTATGGGTTATGTGAACATCCCACTCATATCTCTGATTCCTGAGACAACTCTTAACACCCAGGGTCATGTTATAAAAATACTGACTCTGAACCCTCCACAGCCAAAGTGTCCTGAAGTGTCTTCAGACCCTCTAATTCCACATAAAGGTTTCAACCCTAGTTTGTGCTATGGGGACATGATGCTTTCACTTACTTACCAACCCCAAGACAGGTAAGTGCTTTTAAGTTAAGGGTTCTTGTTTATTTTGTGTTGTGCTTTTTTTTTTTATCTTACTACTCTTCCATACTTCATAATGGTACTTGCATAGTAGATGTTTTTAGTGCCACTTTCCTTCCTATTTTTTCATACATGTTTTATGAATTTAATGCTCTCTCTTGAATTAAACTGTGACATCTTTCTTTGAGTTAGTGCAATAGTTTTGTTACATGTGTCATCTCTTATGGCTTTTTTATATTATAAATCCTTTGTGATGTTGAAAAAGCACAGTGAAACCTCTCATTAATGGACTAATAAGGGAGTGCATGTATGATAATGCCGATTGTCCACAACTCCCGAATTATGAAATTAGTATTTCATGATTGTCCAGTTGTTGTCTGAAGTAGTGGACTTGGTACTCTGATGCAGAAAACATCTGGACATTATGGATACAGGTATTGTAATCTGTAGTACAGTACTACTGTATTGTATCCTGTAGCACTATGGTACTGTAATCTGTAGCACTACAGTACACTGTACTGTATAGTAATTTTATATTACTCTGTGTAATTTATAGTAATTTTACTTTTCATGGTGGAGAGATGAAGTGTAAACTGCTGTGATTAATAGTGGTGACTCAAATTAACTTCTATTTTTAGTCAGAGGAGCTGTCAAGCTCTTCTTTATTTGTTTATACTTGGCCCGATACTTCAGAAAACAAAAGCACACTGTTGCTTTGGACAAAATGTGGAATTACAGACTTTTCTCCATTTTGCCTGATAATTAGAGCTTTCGTCCATCCAAAGTTTTTTGTCTGAGATTTCCGAAATCTATTAATGAATGGTTTTACTGTATTGTTATATGTATGTATGTATGTATTTATGTGTATGTATGTATGTATGTATGTATGTATGTATGTATGTATGGTGTCTTTTTTCTGTCTCATAAACATACAAGATAACAAATATATCTTGCTGCTTTTACTTACACTTAGGTCACACTACACATGCATGTACATGTTTGTGTATACACGCTCATCTGAGTTTTCTTTGATTTTTTCTTAATAGTTCTTGTTCTTATTTTTCCTGTCATATCCATGAGGAAGTGGTATGAGAATCTTTCCTCCGTAAGCCATGCGTGTTGTAAAAGTCAACTAAAATGCTGGGAGCAATGGGCTAGTAACCCCTTTTCCCATATAGCTTACTAAAAGATAGAAAAAGAAAACCTTGAAGTTGCATGGATGTAGTATGAATGATAAGAATGAGGTGATTGTGGATGTACAAGAGTGTAGTGGTACCAACACTCTTATATGGGTGTGAAGCATGGGTTGTAGATGTTGCAGCAAAGAGGAGGCTGGAGGCAGTGGAGATGTCATGTCTAAGGGCAGTGTGTAGTGTAAATATTATACAGAGAATTCGGGGCATGGGAATTATGAGGTGTGGAGTTACAAAAAGTATTATTCAGAGGGCTGAGGAAAGGTTGTTGAAGTGGTGGTCATTTAGAGAGGATGGAGCAAAATAGGATGACTTAGACTCTAAGTCATCCTATTAGAGGGTGTATGAATCTGTAATGCAGGAGAGGAAGGGTAGGGGCATCCTTGTAAAGGATGGAGGGAGGGGGTGAAAGGGGTTTTGTGTGCAAGGGGCTTGGACATACAGCAGGCATGTGTGAGCATGTTAAATAGGAGTGAATGGCAATGAATGGTTTTGGACCATTTACCAAGTCTAAATGTGACCTTGTAAATGGTCCTCTCTCTTGTAAGCTCCTCTCTCTTGTAAGCTCCTCTCTCTTGTGTGTGGGTTATTTGTGTATTGTTCCAGTCACTGTATTGTGCCTTTTTGTTCTTTATGGTTCAGAAGTACTACACAGTGCTATTGATAATATAAGTGATTTTGATTAGTATTTGTATATTTGTTGCTTCAATTTTACCCTTTTTTAGAATTGCATGTAATGCTATTATTTTAATTAACTAAATACATATTGCATCTTTTCCCAGATGTGAGGCTATTGGCAGGGGAAGTCTTGATAAAAATGCAATCTCAGAAGATGAAAGCCTTACTGATGGAACAGTTTCGGAGGAAGATGATGTGTTAGGTGTGCAGGAGATTGTGGAGGATCGTAACCATGATTTCAAGAGAACTCACTTCCACTCGGCTACACAGTGTGATTTTTGTAAGAAAAAGGTAGAGTACACACATTTTTGTTGTACAACTGGGTTTATTTTCTCCATGAAGTAATGTCTAAGAATGCTTAGTGATCTCAATGGTCAAAGGACTTTTTAGATTTAACAACTTCCTTCCTTTCTTGAAGCACAGTAATGTCATTTTACTCAAGCCTCATCAATCATCAAAGAAATGCTTACAATTTATTTTTCTTGAAGTAAGAGATATTTTAATAGGCTATATTTTAGCTTTATTCATCTTTATCACAATCCTGGTTGACAGTTATTTATATTGTAAACTACTTCATCAAAACTTGTTACAATATTGAAGAATCCTCTGTATTATAGAAATCCTGTACGTATTGGTAAAAATGGTATATGAGGCTGTCAGGCTGTCGAAATAAAAAAATGCAAAAACTAGGACGTTTTATTGGAAACATTTTAGTTCTGCTACCTTAGTCACTCCAAATATACAGATGGGTAGGAAGATTATATAACCAGGAAAGCAACTGAGTCACTGTGAGATTTCAATCACTAAATCTCACTGCCATTCAGGTGTTTTCCTGAGTATATAATCTCATTACTCCATTTTATCAAGTGTATGACCAGACATTAAACATTCATATTGAGCCTTTATCTGGCCAGATTTTTTGTCTATTGCAGCAGATGTCCACTTTTTTGGGAGGTCCATTTTATTAGACATTTACTCTAACTGGTTTTTCTGTTTACTTTTAGATCTGGTTGAAAGATGCTTACCAGTGTGGAGAGTGTGGTATAATTTGTCATAAGAAATGTATGGTAAAATGTGAACAAGAAACTGTTTGTGATGCTGGCGGACTTCGATATAGAGATTCTTCAAGAAGTGATCCCCGAGATGGCCGGGACAACAAAGAAATGCCACCAGAAATTATAACAACAGCTGCAGTGGGTACATGGGGAGAAAATGGCAGCCCAGGAAATACTCCGCCTGTGTCACCCCAGGTAAGTAATTCTCATTACAGTACCTAATATGTTGAATGAGCTTTCATTTCATAGTTGTTAAATGCCTACAGTCATTGTTTCTAGTAAAATTCCAACTTAAGGAATTTGTCCTTTAAGTATCTTAGTGTCATTGATATTGAAAGATTTACTTTGACTACATTGCTGTAAATATTAGTCCATCTAATGAGAAATACACCTGTACCCCCTCCACCCCAAAAAAAATCTTTCACTTCTTGTCTGTATGATTTATGAGTTTGAGCTTTACTACATTTTTATTCTTTTATAATCATGTAAAGTAAATTTTCTCATTGGTGTCTTAATAGTGAAGTATGTAGTACTGTCTTTAGATTTAACCAGTTTGTTTTCTTTCATGAAAACTCAAATGCAGATAGTTTATGTAATGTATATGTTATCATAAGTGTTTGTTGATTAAAATATTCTGTATATTACTTGAATTATAACTAAAATTGTATATTCATGTGTTAGTAAATTAGAAAAACTCTTATCTGAGTAATAAATGTTTCATTTTGGTTATTTTTATGTTAAAAACATTGGATTTATGAAGGATGAGGTTAATCATAGAATTGATGAGGGAAAAAAGGTGAGTGGTACATTGAGGTATATGTGGAGTCAAAAAACATTATCTATGGAGGCAAAGAAGGGAATGTATGAAAGTATAGTAGTACCAACACTCTTATATGGGTGTGAAGCTTGGGTGGTAAATGCAGCAGCGAGGAGGCGGTTGGAGGCAGTGGAGATGTCCTGTCTAAGGGCAATGTGTGGTGTAAATATTATGCAGAAAATTTGGAGTGTGGAAATTAGGAAAAGGTGTGGGGGTTAAAAAAAGTATTATCAGAGGGCAGAAGAGGGGTTGTTGAGGGGGTTTGGTCATTTAGATAGAATGGATCAAAATAGAAAAGACATGGAAAGCATATAAATCTATAGGGGGAAAGGGAAAGGGGAGGTAGGGTCGTCCTCGAAAGGGTTGGAGAGAGGGGGTAAAGGAGGTTTTGTGGGCAAGGGGCTTGGACTTCCAGCAAGCGTGTGTGAGCGTGTTAGATAGGAGTGAAAAGGAGACGAATGGTACTTGGGACCTGACGATCTGTTGGAGTGTGAGCAGGGTAATATTTAGTGAGGGATTCAGGGGAAAACCAGTTATTTTCATATAGTCGGACTTGAGTCCTGGAAATGGGAAGTACAATGCCTGCACTTTAAAGGAGGGGTTTGGGATATTGGCAGTTTGGAGGGATATGTATCTTTATATGTATATGCTTCTAAACTGTTGTATTCTGAGCACCTCTGCAAAAACAGTGATTATGTGTGAGTGTGGTGAAAGTGTTGAATGATGATGAAAGCATTTTCTTTTTGGGGATTTTCTTTCTTTATTGGGTCACCCTGCCTCGGTGGGAGACGGTCGACTTGTTGAAAAAAAACAAAAAAAATTGCTCATCATGTTAAGTTAGATAATGTAATCCACAAACTCCTATTATTTTTACACCATAACCATGTCATTGGAGTATAAGTGATACACAAGATTTGTGGAAGATACTGTAATATTTAAAGTAATTTATTTTTTTGTATAACAAAATTTGAGTGAAACTATTACAATTGTATTCTTACATTCAACATAGTGAAAAGATTTGAACTTGTATACTTTATTTCTTGTAAACTTTGTATCCATTGGGTTTTGCCTTATAAAAGTGTGTCATTAATGATATTACATCTTAACTCTCTCTTCTCCATGTCAGATACAGTACACTGTGCATAGTCTGTGATCAGTTTCTTCATGATTTTTTTTTTTCTGGAATTCTTTTTTTTTATGACACCTAGGTTATCCTATGTGAATCATGCAAATCTGAGTAGAAATAAGCAGGGGAGGGGAAGAAATTAATACTGTACTAGATTAAGTAAGTAAGTTTATTCAGGTATACACAAATACAGTTACATAGAATTATTATACATAACAGCAAAAAAGTCAGACAGAGTGACTTATTTCCATTGGGGTCCTTTTACCTTATTATTATAATATAAAGGTTATAATATTTTCTTATTATTCTATAATGAAGATAACATCTTATTATCATACTAAAAGACTATCTACTACACGAGGGTCATTAAGACTATCTACAATACGAGGGTCATTACTAGGAATAAGGTAAAATTTACACATATGTTAGCTAAAAAATAGAAAATCATTCCCCTCCCTTTCTGTAGCTACATTCATCAGACACCTTTTGACACTCTTCTTGAACTGGTTCATGCTATGACTGGCTTTGACATGTGCGGGTAGTCTGTTTCATTCCTTTATTGCTGTACAATAAAAGGTGTTTGAAGCCTGGCCAATGACTGTGGGTACTACAAAGTTGTGCTCTCTCCCCCTAGTACTATGATTGCTTTGGTTCCCAACCTTGACAAAATTGACAGCAAGATATTCTGGACACTGTGAGCAATTTTATAAACATGATTTTGCTTCAGTTGTTTTACTCTGTCTTCAACATTCAGCATATCGAACTGCTGTAATTCATCCTGGCCTACATGTTTTCTTGGTCCCAGCCCCAGGATGAATCTTACGATTTTGTTTTGGGTGATTTGCAGTCTATCTTTCAGTTTTTTTGCCAAGGCAGAGTACCATGAAGAGCAAGCGTAATCCATATGGCATTGTATAAGGGCTAGACTAGGGTCATGCGAGCCTCAGTAGGTAGACACTGTGCTTGTCTATACAGGAACTTCAGTCTGGCATTCGCTTTCTTTACTACACTGTTCCCTATCAATTCTCCTGACTTAGAGCATGCTTTGCTGCATCACTCACTTGCATCTAACACCCTAAAAAAATGGAATTCTGGCAAAAAAAATAAAAGGGAAAAATGACATCTCTGTTCTCTTACTACCAGCTTATATGCTAACTTAACAGTATTATTTTCATAGGAACTCTCATCTTTGGATTTTTCTTCTTTTCCCATTTCCTTTATAAGTTTTTTATTTATTGCATTTCATCATATTACTCAGCCTATTGGTATGGCACTGTGAATGATGTGCAAGTTGCTCAGTCAGGTTAACACTGTTGAATCCGGCTAGGAACTGGATGGGTGATCACATTGACACAGCTTCACCTATGACTAAGGGAGGACCTGAATAAGCCTCAGGCTTCCTGTCTCCAAGAGTGTGGAAGAAGGTAATATTTGCATTATTAATCCAGAGGTAATCCAAGAAATCTAAGCAGTATAGCATATTTTCTAAGTGACACTTCTCCAGGATATGACCCATAATAGCTGACTTATTCCTAGGTGCTTCTTTATTGGTAAGTGAACATGCATAGCAGTGATATGGAGATTCACTTTTACTTCTCTCCCCACCGGAATGTAACTCGGGTCCTGTTGGCTGCATGGTGACTGTTCTACCACTGAGCTACAAGTTACTATAACTACTAGTGTAACTTAATGCAAACTTCTCACGTCTTATTTCCTCAGCCATATAAATTTATAAATTTAATTTGGGATTTCTTTCAGTTTTTCCTGAGGTAGCTACTTTAAGAGCTGCTACTGCTGCTCTTTTTTTTTTCTGCATCAACCACCTCCCGTCTAGGTAGGACAAACCAAAGAAGATAACAGCTAAGGGTATTTAACCCTTTGAGGGTCCAGAGGCCAAATCTCAGAGTGACAGCCAGGGTCCAAGAATTTTCAAAAAAAAATTTTTGTTATTTTTTCTTAAGAAATGCTAGAGAATCTTTTTCTGAAGGCAATAAAACAAAAAGTGTGAAATTTGATGGAAATTTGATGAAATTATGCTCTTGCGAATTTTGTTGCATCAGCGATATTTATGCACCAGCCAACTGTTTCAACTGCCCAGTAAAGTGATTGGAAATTGATAATTTGGCCAATAAGTTAAAAATATTCCAATTTCAAAATAGGGTCCAGAATAAACAATACAGGCATTCCTGGCACTAACATTTCCTCTGTTCATTAGTTTTGTTTTAAGACTTTACAAACGAATTTCATTTTGATTTTTTATTCACATAAAGAATTTTTATTCACACCAAAAAATAGAAGATTTACTGTTATGCAATATTGTAATAATTTTATAAATAATATTTTATAAATAATAATATCGTGGATGTAGTGCGGATGACAAGAAACGGATGATTGCTGATGTTATGAATGAAACGAAGTTGGATGTCCTGGCCCTAAGCGAAACAGAGCTGAAGGGGGTAGGGGAGTTTCGTTGGGGGGAAATAAATGGGATTAAATCTGGAGTATCTGAGAGAGTTAGAGCAAAGGAAGGGGTACCAGTAATGTTGAAGGATAAGTTATGGAAGGAGAAAAGAGAATATGAATGTGTAAATTCAAGAATTATGTGGATTAAAGTAGTGGATAAAGTGGATAGGTAGTAGGTTGGTAGACAGCAACCACCCAGGGAAGTACTACCGTCCTGCCAGATGACTGTGAAACAGAAACCTGTAACTGTTTTGCATGATGGTAGGATTGCTGGTTTCTTTTTCTGTCTCATAAACACGCTAGATAACAGGGATATCTTGCTACTCCTACTTACACTTTGGTCACACTTCACAGACACGCACATGCATATATATATATACATACATCTAGGTTTTTCTCCTTTTTCTAAATAGCTCTTGTTCCTCTTTATTTCTTCTATTGTCCATGGGGAAGTGGAAAAGAATCTTTCCTCCGTAAGCCATGCGTGTCGTATGAGGCGACTAAAATGCCGGGAGCAATGGGCTAGTAACCCCTTCTCCTATAGACATTTACTAAAAAAGAGAAGAAGAAAAACTTTATAAAACTGGGATGCTTAAATGTGCGTGGATGTAGTGCGGATGACAAGAAACAGATGATTGCTGATGTTATGAATGAAAAGAAGTTGGATGTCCTGGCCCTAAGCGAAACAAAGCTGAAGGGGGTAGGGGAGTCTCGGTGGGGGGAAATAAATGGGATTAAATCTGGAGTATCTGAGAGAGTTAGAGCAAAGGAAGGGGTAGCAGTAATGTTGAATGATCAGTTATGGAAGGAGAAAAGAGAATATGAATGTGTAAATTCAAGAATTATGTGGATTAAAGTAAAGGTTGGATGCGAGAAGTGGGTCATAATAAGCGTGTATGCACCTGGAGAAGAGAGGAATGCAGAGGAAAGAGAGAGATTTTGGGAGATGTTAAGTGAATGTATAGGAGCCTTTGAACCAAGTGAGAGAGTAATTGTGGTAGGGGACCTGAATGCTAAAGTAGGAGAAACTTTTAGAGAGGATGGGGTAGGTAAGTTTGGGGTGCCAGGTGTAAATGATAATGGGAGCCCTTTGATTGAACTTTGTATAGAAAGGGGTTTAGTTATAGGTAATACATATTTTAAGAAAAAGAGGATAAATAAGTATACAAGATATGATGTAGGGCGAAATGACAGTAGTTTGTTGGATTATGTATTGGTAGATAAAAGACTGTTGAGTAGACTTCAGGATGTACATGTTTATAGAGGGGCCACAGATGGGATACAAGGAGAATAGAAGCATCAGGGAAGAGAGAGGTGAAGGTTTATAAACTAAAAGAGGAGGCAGTTAGGGTAAGATATAAACAGCTATTGGAGGATAGATGGGCTAATGAGAGCATAGGCAATGGGGTCGAAGAGGTATGGGGTAGGTTTAAAAATGTAGTGTTAGAGTGTTCAGCAGAAGTTTGTGGTTACAGGAAAGTGGGTGCGGGAGGGAAGAGGAGCGATTGGTGGAATGATGATGTGAAGAGAGTAGTAAGGGAGAAAAAGTTAGCATATGAGAAGTTTTTACAAAGTAGAAGTGATGCAAGGAGGGAAGAGTATATGGAGAAAAAGAGAGTGGTGAAGCAAAGTAAAAAGAGAGCAAATGAGAGAGTGGGTGAGATGTTATCAACAAATTTTGTTGAAAATAAGAAAAAGTTTTGGAGTGAGATTAATAAGTTAAGAAAGCCTAGAGAACAAATGGATTTGTCAGTTAAAAATAGAGGAGAGGAGAGTTATTAAATGGAGAGTTAGAGGTATTGGGAAGATGGAGGGAATATTTTGAGGAATTGTTAAATGTTGATGAAGATAGGGAAGCTGTGATTTCGTGTATAGGGCAAGGAGTAACAATATCTTGTAGGAGTGAGGAAGAGCCAGTTGTGAGTGTGGGGGAAGTTCGTGAGGCAGTAGGTAAAATAAAAGGGGGTAAGGCAGCCGGGATTGATGGGATAAAGATAGAAATGTTAAAAGCAGGTGGGGATATAGTTTTGGAGTGGTTGGTGCAATTATTTAATAAATGTATGGAAGAGGGTAAGGTACCTAGGGATTGGCAGAGAGCATGCATAGTTCCTTTGTATAAAGGCAAAGGGGATAAAAGAGAGTGCAAAAATTATAGGGGGATTAGTCTGTTGAGTATACCTGGCAAAGTGTATGGTAGAGTTATTATTGAAAGAATTAAGAGTAAGACGGAGAATAGGATAGCAGATGAACAAGGAGGCTTTAGGAAAGGTAGGGGGTGTGTGGACCAGGTGTTTACAGTGAAACATATAAGTGAACAGTATTTAAATAAGGCTAAAGAGGTCTTTGTGGCATTTATGGATTTGGAAAAGGCATATGACAGGGTGGATAGGGGGGCAATGTGGCAGATGTTGCAGGTGTATGGTGTAGGAGGTAGGTTACTGAAAGCAGTGAAGAGTTTTTACGAGGAGAGTGAGGCTCAAGTTAGAGTATGTAGGAAAGAGGGAAATTATTTCCCAGTAAAAGTAGGCCTTAGACAAGGATGTGTGATGTCACCGTGGTTGTTTAATATATTTATAGATGGGGTTGTAAGAGAAGTAAATGCGAGGGTCTTGGCAAGAGGCGTGGAGTTAAAAGATAAAGAATCACACACAAAGTGGGAGTTGTCACAGTTGCTCTTTGCTGATGACACTGTGCTCTTGGGAGATTCTGAAGAGAAGTTGCAGAGATTGGTGGATGAATTTGGTAGGGTGTGCAAAAGAAGAAAATTGAAAGTGAATACAGGAAAGAGTAAGGTTATGAGGATAACAAAAAGATTAGGTGATGAAAGACTGGATATCAGATTGGAGGGAGAGAGTATGGAAGAGGTGAATGTATTCAGATATTTGGGAGTGGACGTGTCAGCGGATGGGTCTATGAAAGATGAGGTGAATCATAGAATTGATGAGGGGAAAAGGGTGAGTGGTGCACTTAGGAGTCTGTGGAGACAAAGAACTTTGTCCTTGGAGGCAAAGAGGGGAATGTATGAGAGTATAGTTTTACCAACGCTCTTATATGGGTGTGAAGCATTTGTGATGAATGTTGCAGCGAGGAGAAGGCTGGAGGCAGTGGAGATGTCATGTGTGAGGGCAATGTGTGGTGTGAATATAATGCAGAGAATTCGCAGTTTGGAAGTTAGGAGGAGGTGCGGGATTACCAAAACTGTTGTCCAGAGGGCTGAGGAAGGGTTGTTGAGGTGGTTCGGACATGTGGAGAGAATGGAGCGAAACAGAATAACTTCAAGAGTGTATCAGTCTGTAGTGGAAGGAAGGCGGGGTAGGGGTTGGCTTAGGAAAGGTTGGAGAGAGGTGGTAAAGGAGGTTTTGTGTGCGAGGGGCTTGGACTTCCAGCAGGCATGCGTGAGCGTGTTTGATAGGAGTGAATGGAGACGAATGGTTTTTAATACTTGACGTGCTGTTGGAGTGTGAGCAAAGTAACATTTATGAAGGGGTTCAGGGAAACCGGCAGGCCGGACTTGAGTCCTGGAGATGGGAAGTACAGTGCCTGCACTCTGAAGGAGGGGTGTTAATGTTGCAGTTTAAAAACTGTAGTGTAAAGCACCCTTCCGGCAAGACAGTGATGGAGTAAATGATGGGGAAAGTTTTTCTTTTTCGGGCCACCCTGCCTTGGTGGGAATCGGCCAGTGTGATAATAAAAAAATAATAATAATAATAATATCAGCACATTCGTGAACACATATTAGACCCACCAGCTGACGTTTATTAGACGCGTGACATCATTTGTTTACTCTTAAACGTCGGCAAAAATTGAACATTTCCTCCTCTTTAAGTAATTTTCACTGCTAGAACCAATTAAAATCATCTCTATTTCTGTAATATATCTTCCATTCGATCAAATGAGACCAAGAAATCGCAAATACAACTGTAAAAAAACATGCAAAAAACAATACAAAGTCGCTGTTTTAATCCAAAACTAAGATTGCAGTTTTTTTTCTCATTATGCACTGCATGCTGTAGTATTTGTTTTATGTGGTGCACACTTACCACATAGATGTATTCTTTCATATCTAGACTCAGATATACCGCTTACAGCTTATCTGAGTGAGCTGAGCTCAAGTCGTAGTTCTACAGCTTGGACCCAGGTTTCAAAGCCGTAGAACTATGGGACGGACCCTCAAAGGGTTAATTAAACAGTTTGTGTAATCTTTGCAGCATATCAACTTATTGTTTTTAAAATCAACATTTGCATCCTTTTCTCTGTCTACATAACTTAGATAACCTCTCCACTATTGCCCTGCTCTTCCTACATCTTTTGTTTTTGTCTTTTTTATTATGAAATTTCAACACCATGATTTTTTCTTTCAGATTCGTCTTTGCAAAGGATGGTTTTGCCGTCTCCTTGTTTTTCTTTCCCTTGGTTAATTCCTGTTTTGAGGAAAAAGGAAACAGATTTGAAGCATCAGAGTTTTCCCTGCTTAGTTGCAGCTCAGTCTGATTTGAGGTGAACAATCTTCTTCATAATTCTTTTGAATTATGCTCTGAGATTAGATTAGCCATTAAATCTTTTGACTGTGTATTGGTGTGACAAAAAAGTGAAGCTTCCCATATTCCTTTCTAGTGCATATGTACAATTGTACATAGACCATATTTATATTTTAATCTCATTTGCTTCTAGTCAAAACTTTCTTCTGCCTTTTTTTGTAAAAGAATTAATCAGCCTGTTTGAAAAACATATCTCATATGCTTCAAATCTAACCTGCTTTTCTATTAAAAATTTTATTACTCTATGTATTTTCCATGAAATCCAATCCCAGAACCTTTAGCTAAGTTTATGGCTACCACAGAGGATTCATCTTTATTGACACCTCGCAGTGAATATTTTGCAGCAACAAAAGAGTTCACACATAGAATATTGGAATTGCAGGTTCATATATTTTCAGTTCAATTTGTTTTATATGGTAACATATTTTTTTCTTTCTTATAATGTCGTGAGCCTAGTCAATACTGGATGAGCAGTTGCTTGAACATAGCCTCACCCTTATCTAAGGGAAACATTAATAAACCAATGGCTTTCTGTCCTTGACACCATACCTTGCTGTAAAGGATGTATTCTTTTAGCAGAATCTGATTGGATTATCAACATATATTGATAAAGGTTCTGTACACATATTTTACTAGGTTATGATTACATGATTGACATTGAAGAACTAACCAGAACAGATTTTTATATCTTATCAACAATGGCATAAACTTCATCATATTGCTGCTAAATCTAGTTGATATGACAGTACACAATGCTGTAAATACTATAGGGTTCTAAAGCTGCTTCACTCTACATTCCTTTCACTTAGCTCAGCCTTTTTATTTCAGGTTCTTTTGTTTGTAGTTTACAGTGCTGTGTTCACATTTAATTTTACAAGGAACAAATTTGGCAATTGCAGCACAGATCCTTGATTAGTGGCAAATTAATTTTTTTTATGATATACCACAGTTTGCAACATAAACTACCAGAACAAAAGTTTTCATTTATTCCGCCCCTCCCCTTCGCCTTGCTCTCTCTCTCTCTCACTCACTCATTCACTGTTTTTCATACTTTCTCTCATTTTACCTTCCCCAGTTTTCCCCTCCTTTCCTTTTCCCCCTTCTTCCCTCCTTCCTGTCTGCCCCTTCCCTGGGAACTCAGAGACTTGCTCACATGTGTTATTCATTGGGGTACAGGTTTTTATCTTGCAGATTTGTTCTTTAATGTATCCTTTATTAAGTGAATTTATATAAACAGAATTTATTGTGTAAGTTTTTTGGGTACACTGTAGAGGGTTGGCTAGGCACTCGGGCTCCAAATTAAAAAACTAATGATATGATTTTATTCAGAATACACATTCAGTACATTTCCCATACCCAACTTTTTCTTTTTCTGGACATTTTTTTACGATTGCCTGTATTAACCAGATTAACAGCCAGATTTAAAATAATATGGCTTCTTGGCACACAGTGTCTCCAAATTCAAAACAAAATTAGTTATGGAAAGAATTTAATGGTACTGCATTTGTTAATTCTAAATTCATGAGAGCCTCTTTGAACCTAACTCATGAATTTGGGATAGATTGTTCATAGCATTAAAATGACTGACAAAGCTGTGAGTGGTGATGGCAGATTATTTTGTAATATTATCCTGGAAATAAATGAAAAATGAAGCCATACACTGCAGAATTGTTCAATGTAAATACATCTAGGCTGTTTTAAAAGTGGATGCCATCAAGAACTTTAATTAGGTAAAAGGACACATGGGCAACTAATGTGACATTTTATTATGGCAAGGTTTCGCTCATGAGGAGCTTTGTCAAGCTGTTAGTAATGGCCTGACAAAGCTTCTGGAGAGCGAAATGTTACCACAGTAAAATGTCACATTAGTTGCATTTGTGTCCTTTTATCTAACATTTTGTCGGTAATTCTATCAACATTATTATAAGAACTTTAATTTTTGCTGAAGATAAGACTACTCCAGATTTTATGGCTGCCTAGAACTAGTCTTACACTTTTCTGTGTGACAGTGCAACTGGAGATTGTAAACAAAAGCCCATGTTAGCTTACTACTCTGAAAGACCAAGGACTGGAGGGAGCTCCTTCAAAAGCTCTCTCTGAATTCTCATACTCAGTTAAGAAGACTTGAGTAGCCATGAATGTTTCAAGACTGGTTTATTATGTTTCCTTCCCAGCTGTTGAAGCATAATGTACTAAGAAAAGTATTACTTGCTTGGTACAATATGACTCCTAATGGATAATTCCTCATGCCATCCCATTAACTTCAGTAAAAATCATCCAAACATTCCAGGGTTAAGCTTCTTCCCAAGAAGTGGTACACTCTGTAATCATTATTTAACTACATGTAAACCACACAACAACCAAATTCTGTAAATTCAACATTGTAATCTTTATAGAGAATAAACTTTGAATTTGAATTTGAAGAACACAATTTTGTTTATTCAGCCAAAGGACAAAGGTATTATATCTACATTTAAGGCTTATTATTTCATAGAAAATTTGCTTAGTATATTAGAGAAATTGATGATGAAGATAAGCCAATAATTAGGTAATTCTAGCAAGGATACATCACGAATTCTATTGAATTCTTAAAATCCATCAGAGGTGTCAAAGCATTTCATGTTCATTAAATGACCTCATTTCAGTCATTCTGAACGTGTATGGAGAAAACTAGTCTCATTGTATCAATGGCTTCTGTGGTTTGAAAGAGAGAATTCCAGTTATTTACAAGAAGGTAATAGATTATGCTAAAGATGTTGGGTTTCAAGACATTAAGGAGGCTGATGTGGAGTTAATGCAGTTGGATACAGAAGATAATTCAAGTGAAGAGTTGATGCAACTTAAACAGAATACCACTGTTTTGGGAGGTGACTGGTTGTTGAAACTATACCAGCCCAATATGAATTCACTCTGCAGAAATTGTCAAAGAATATAAGCCACATAGAGGCAGATATAGCTGTCATTACAGAAAGTGATCAAAGCTGAGAATGTAATGATAGAATCATCAGCTTATTACATAATTTAATTCACAAACACAGGAAGCTGTAACAGAGAAAAAATAGGTGAGTTGTCATTGATGACATTTCTTATTTGTGTAATAAATTGATGTTTTTTCCATAAGAAAATGTTTCTTGCAAATTCTCTCATATGCTTCGTGAAGATCTACATGTCATGTAATCCTCAGCAGGATTCCTCCTCCTACAAATACTTACTCAGATAGAGGAAGTTTATGATCCTGTTCCTCTCTCCCCTCACCCAACTCCAATACCAAAACTCCATCATTATCACCATCACACCACATGTACTCGGAAGACTTACATTTGCCAAATATTGATTTATATTTTTCAGTATCAATTATTTACTGTTTGTTTTCATTTTATTTTTTCTGTAACTTGTATGACTATTTTTTGCTGAAATATGTGGTGGAAGTCTATAGGAAAACATATTTTGATAGATGAAAATTCATCTAATGAATGATTTACCAGGAATGCAATCCCCTCACTAAGCGGGGACTGTTTGTACTTGTACTTTCCTGTCTTTTGCTTGGTTCCTAGGTGTACTTTACTGCTTGTTTATACATATTGAGGCAACCTTCATTCCTTCCACATTTATATTATTTATTTAAAGCAAGTCACAGCTGCTTCACTTATATATTAGTCAGACCATTAGATAAAAAATCTTTCAACAGTATTTTCATTATTTTTACAGTTTCTATCACCTAAAACTATTAAATGCTATGGAAGATTCTTCATTTGCTATATTGATAATGAGTATAGTACACTGCATCAGATTATTTTTTTATTTTACTTTTTAATTAATAGAAAAGTGAAATATTACATAGAGTCTAAAAGCTATGAAAGCTAACTTATAAATGCATTTATTTATGTACACACACACACACACTATAATGTTTGGTTCCAGAAATTTTTTTTAGCCATAATAGTAAAAATTGCCATTGACACACGTTTTCCTCCCACATCTTGGCATTCCACAGACCCAACGCCGTACCCTCGGCAGCTTGCTTGCTCAGGTGGCGAGTGCCAGCAAGGGTAGTTTGAAGCGTGCCGGCTCAGCCCATAACCTGGCCCCCCCAAACCCATCCCCTGGTGGAACACACTCACGTTCACTTCCCCCTTCCCCTCCCCACTCACCCCAGCATAGTAGGAAGGTAGGAGTAGTTGTTCAATGGCTGTGATATGATTACTTCATCTTATATTAAACTTTTGATATATATATATATATATATATTTAAATACTGTACAATATAAAATATTTTTTTTCAATTCTTACGTAGATTTTACAGATATGTGTAATGTAATATAAATGCTCATTTCACAGGCATTATTCTTTTTATTTTTTTAACTTATAGATCACAAATGTAGAGCAATAATGTTTTTTTCGTAAAATACTAATATATATGCTGCATAAATATGTATATGTGTACTCTCCCAACTGTATTTTTAATTACGAAGTTCCAGCTTTTGGGCTCTGCCTTTTACCATTAGTCTACTGGCTTGATGCCTTCTCATTGTTCCACCACTGTTTGCAAAAAGTTAACTAGCATCCCTTCATCTACACTTTTGTTTCCTCAGTTTACAACTGTGGCTTTGTGTTTTCTCTGTTGAAAGGATTAGGAAATATTTTTCTATGCTTTCATATTTTTTTATGATAATATCATCCTGTGTGGGCATCTTTAGCATATTTGGCCTTTCATTATAACTTGTATTTTTAGCTCTGAGAGTTAATTTTTAGGTCTTGAACCTTTTCTATTTTAGCCATGTGACTTTTCATACAGACACAATACAGATGCTGCATCTTTGAGTTTTCGTCTAATACATGTTGTAAGCAGCCTTTTTTTTTTTAAGTACTTCCTTATATAACTGCATTTCAATACTGTTTTTGTTTTGTTTTGTATCCTAATGAAACATACAAGTTCCTTACAGTTTTGTTTGCATAATTTCCTAGTGTCACTTTTTCATTAATACTAGTTCTAGATCTCTTTATCTGATACTTTAAATATTTTGTCACACAGTCTATTTTCTTTATATAGGCTTGTTTGCTTTCTTCCATTTCCTTCATTTGGCTTTATTTGCATTATATTTCTTTATCCATCTTTTACTTCATATGTCCAGTTTATCAAAATTGGGTTAAGCAGTAATCATTTTTATTTCAAATTTTATGTAAGATTTTTGTAGTATTTGCAGATATTCAAATAATTTGCTTTTCCTTCTACAACCATTGTATGATGAAATAATTACTGAAGACATTATACACAAGCATATCTGCTCTCGGGCTTCTAATGGGTAATTGCTGTATTAACTTTTTCAGGGGTTAAGGTGGTTTGGTCATTTACAGAGGATGGAGCAAAATAGGATGACTTGGAAGGTGTATAAATCTGTAGTGGAAGGAAGGTAGGGTAGATGTCATCCTAGGTAAGAGGGTAAAACAGGTTTTGTGTGCAAGGGGCTTGGATGTACAACAGGCACGTGAGACTGTGTTAGATAGGAATAGAGATAAAAGATAGAGTTTATTTCTTTGTAAAGGTTACAGTGTGTAATTACAGTTTTGGTTTGCTTAGTACGAAGAAAGCCACTATCATGCCAGGGCATTTCGGGCAGACTAATCTTAGTACATAATAACTACTTAAATCTAGACAAGATAAGAGTGGTTAACTTGTATTAAAATCTTTATTTAACCCTTTCAGGGTCCAAGGCCCAAATCTGGAGTCACGCACCAGTGTCCAAGAATTTAAAAAAAAAAAAAATTTGTTATTTTTTCTTACGAAATCGTAGAGAATCTTTTTGTGAAGGTAATAAAACAAAAAGTACGAAATTTGGTGGAAAATTTACGAAATTATGCTCTCGCGAATTTTGATGTGTCAGCGATATTTACGAATCAGCGATTTTGCCGATTTTGACTCCCATTTTAGGCCAATTACATTATTCCAATCAACCAAATTCTTAGCTATTTCACTAGTATTACTTCTATTCTATCGATTGAGCACAAGAAATCGCCAAGTCAACTGTTTCAACTACAAAATAAAGTGATCGGAAATTGTTAATTTGGCCAATTTAACACAAAGTTCAAAATATTCCAATTTCAAAATAGGGTCCAGAATGAACAATGTAGGCATTCCTGGCACTAAACTAACATTTCCTCTGTTCATTAGTTATGTTTTGAGGCTTTACAAATAAATTCCATTTTGATTTTTATTCACATAATGAATTTTTATTCACACCAAAAAATAGAAGATTTACTGTTATGCAATACTGTAATAATTGTATAAATATCATCACCATATTTGTGAATGTATATTAGACCCACCAGCTGACGTGTATTAGACGTGTGAGGTCGTTTGTTTACTCTTGAATATCGGCAAAAATTTAACATTTCCGCTACTTTGAGCTCAGTTTCAAGCCATTTCCAATGCTAAAACCAATCAAAATCATCACTATTTCTGTAATATGTCTTCCATTCTATCAAATGAGACCAAGAAATCGCAAATACAACTATAAAAAACATACGAAAAAACACTGCAAAGTTGCTGTTTTAATCGAAAAATCATGATTTCATTTTTTTTCTCTCATTATACACAGTGTGCTGCAGGATCTGTTTTATGTGGTGCACACATACCACATAGATGTATTCTCTCATATCTAGGCCCAAATGTACCACTCACAGTTTATCAGAGTGAGCTGAGCTCATGGCGTAGATCTACGGTTTGGACCCTGAACGTAAAGCCGTAGATCTACGGGACGGACCCTGAAAGGATTAACCTTAATACTAATTTGAGTGGGAGAGGCACTGTCAAGAAATTTTAATGAAAATAAGAAAAAAATTTGGAGTGAGTTAAACAAGTTAAGAAAGCCTAGGGAAAGTATGGATTTGTCAGTTAAAAGCAGAGTAGGGGAGTTAGTAGATGGGGAGAGGGAGGTATTAGGTAGATGGCGAGAATATTTTGAGGAACTTTTAAATGTTAAGGAAGAAAGAGAGGCAGTAATTTTATGCACTGGTCAGGGAGGTATACCATCTTTTAGGAGTGAAGAAGAGCAGAATGTAAATGTGGGGGAGGTACGTGAGGCATTACGTAAAATGAAAGGGGGTAAAGCAGCTGGAACTGATGGGATCATGACAGAAATGTTAAAAGCAGGGGGGGATATAGTGTTGGAGTGGTTGGTACTTTTGTTTAATAAATATGTGAAAGAGGGGAAAGTACCTAGGGATTGGCTGAGAGCATGTATAGTCCCTTTATATAAAGGGAAAGGGGACAAAAGAGACTGTAAAAATTATAGAGGAATAAGTTTACTGAGTATACCAGGAAAAGTGTACGGTAGGGTTATAATTGAAAGAATTAGAGGTAAGACAGAATGTAGGATTGCGGATGAGCAAGGAGGTTTCAGAGTGGGTAGGGGATGTGTAGATCAAGTGTTTACATTGAAGCATATATGTGAACAGTATTTAGATAAAGGTAGGGAAGTTTTTATTGCATTTATGGATTTAGAAAAGGCATATGATAGAGTGGATAGAGGAGCAATGTGGCAGATGTTGCAAGTATATGGAATAGGTGGTAAGTTATTAAATGCTGTAAAGAGTTTTTATGAGGATAGTGAGGCTCAGGTTAGGGTGTGTAGAAGAGAGGGAGACTACTTCCCGGTAAAAGTAGGTCTTAGACAGGGATGTGTAATGTCACCATGGTTGTTTAATATGGTTGTAAAGGAAGTAAATGCTAGGGTGTTCAGGAGAGGGGTGGGATTAAATTTTGGGGAATCAAATTCAAAATGGGAATTGACACGGTTACTTTTTGCTGATGATACTGTGCTTATGGGAGATTCTAAAGAAAAATTGCAAAGGTTAGTGGATGAGTTTGGGAATGTGTGTAAAGGTAGAAAGTTGAAAGTGAACATAGAAAAGAGTAAGGTGATGAGGGTATCAAATGATTTAGATAAAGAAAAATTGGATATCAAATTGGTGAGGAGGAGTATGGAAGAAGTGAATGTTTTCAGATACTTGGGAGTTGATGTGTCGGTGGATGGATTTATGAAGGATGAGGTTAATCATAGAATTGATGAGGGAAAAAAGGTGAGTGGTGCGTTGAGGTATATGTGGAGTCAAAAAACGTTATCTATGGAGGCAAAGAAGGAAATGTATGAAAGTATAGTAGTACCAACACTCTTATATGGGTGTGAAGCTTGGGTGGTAAATGCAGCAGCAAGGAGACGGTTGGAGGCAGTGTAGATGTCCTGTTTAAGGGCAATGTGTGGTGTAAATATTATGCAGAAAATTCGGAGTGTGGAAATTAGGAAAAGGTGTGGTGTTAATAAAAGTATTAGTCAGAGGGCAGAAGAGGGGTTGTTGAGGTGGTTTGGTCATTTAGAGAGAATGGATCAAAGTAGAATGACATGGAAAGCATATAAATCTATAGGGGAAGGAAGGCGGGGTAGGGGTCGTCCTCGAAAGGGTTGGAGAGAAAGGGTAAAGGAGGTTTTGTGGGCAAGGGGCTTGGACTTCCAGCAAGCGTGCGTGAGCGTGTTAGTTAGGAGTGAATGGAGACGAATGGTACTTGGGACCTGACGATCTGTTGGAGTGTGAGCAGGGTAATATTTAGTGCAGGGATTCAGGGAAACCAGTTATTTTCATATAGTCGGACTTGAGTCCTGGAAATGGGAAGTACAATGCCTGCACTTTAAAGGAGGGGTTTGGGATATTGGCAGTTTGGAGGGATATGTTGTGTATCTTTATATGTATATGCTTCTAAACTGTGTATTCTGAGCACCTCTGCTAAAACAGTGATAATGTGCGAGTGTGGTGAAAGTGTTGAATGATGATGAAAGTATTTTCTTTTTGGGGATTTTCTTTCTTTTTTGGGTCACCCTGCCTCGGTGGGAGACGGCCGACTTGTTGAAAAAAAAAAAAAAACTAATTCGAGGTAGTCAAGGTGGAGGTTTATAAGAATAATAACCTTGAAGTTCCACATAATAAAAACAAT